ACACCTGATCCAACTGTCCGTCGGACACACCGTCGCGGAACAGTATAACACTCTCCGGCAAAGCGTTGCTATTCTTCGCCCGATAGTTCTTCAAGTGTCGGACAAACATCCGGTCATAAGTGGCGATTATTTCGGTGTTCAGCGGCTGTCCCTCAACCGCCGCGTGATATTTACTAAACTCGGCGTCAAAAGTGGCCACTGAGGCGGCGATGGACGAGAACACGGGTCCGTCACCCGCGCCACCGGTTCCCGGATGTATCACATCGACGCCCACAACCATAACGGCCCGCTTTTTGACGGCAGCGAACGGCCGACACTCCGGGGCCAACACCTGATTCTGGCCGTCATTCTTGGCGTTCACTTTCAGCATAAGATTAGCGAAATATATTTCTTGAGGTGTCTTAATAAAGTGCTGGTCGAGTACGCACTGTGTGGGCACGCCGTGCACATCGGCCAAGTATTTGATGGTCTTGTAAATCGGTGACCACGCAATGCAGATGAATATCATGTCCAACTGCTTGAACTCTGCAATATCTGCGGCTATCACTTGGTCAGTGGCTCTGTGCGACACTTTAGCCTCCGGCCCGTCGGCTATATCGACGCTCATTTCCCGGGCCTTATCGACCAGTTTGGCGAAGAACCGGTCGAAACACTCCTCGAATTTAGTCGTTGACCTCAACGGCCCGTCAACTGAGTAGTTGATGAACGCGTACCGTTTCAATGGGCGGCCACTTTTCAAACGCCGCAGATTGCCCTCCAGTTGGGGCGCCGGCAGTACACGTCCGGACAGCTGAATGGGATTTACCTCTAAATTAACGCCAAAACTGGTCATCAGAGCGCGTCCCACCGCTTCCACCTCTTCGGCCGATTGCTGTATTAGATCGAAACGAGTGCTCGGCTTCTGACTGTTGGCGCTCTTCACTATCTGTTGTGTCATCTCAGGTGTCCTCTCGACTATACGGCGAGGCATCGGCTGATCGGGGTATACGTGACACACGTCTATCGGCAGGTATTTGTTGTTCCGGGTCTTAATGAGGCCCACATTTTGCAACAACTCTCCTGTGTTCGGGTACTTCGACCGGAAGTACTCCTTCACTGTAACGGATTGGCCATCGGTTTCGTCGAACCGGTATTCGTGTACTCTTTGGGCGATCATTGAGTCGATAAAGAATCGGCGCTTTTGGTTCGGTATGTGATCCGTGTAGATCTTAAGGCCTGCGAACGTGTATAACGTAATTACAAACACGAGTTGATCCGTACAATCAATGGTCAAACAAACCTTTAATCTTCAGATTAAGTCGTTGTCTGTCATCATCGGTCAACCGCGTGATAGCGCGAAGGTTCGTTATATTGAGCTCTCGTTCAATGAATGTGATCAGTGGACCGCCAATTACCAACAGAGTGGCCGTGCGGTCAACGTTTAAAGTGATTCCCGTTTGAGTCACGTGAGCGGACTGGTAGTGACCAAAAGCTATCTCAGCATTGGTCGGGACAAGTGGACGGTAACCCCTTCCCTCTTGCCGACGGGTCACCGCTTCCCGACCGTCGATGGCGTACAAACTCCTATAGATCGAGACCAGACTCTGTGCCGGCATATATCGCAACACCACATCCAACGCCTGTAAGGCTTCGCGAAAGTCCTCGGGATTTGGGCGCCGATTACGGCCCTCGAAGTACTCGACCAACGGTGTCATCGATACTGGTTTGACGTATTGAATCCGCACCTCAAATGTCTGTTCCGCGAAACCGTCCAATTGTATGACAACTGGCCGAGTGGTGGGCGTCGCGGACACCGCCGGCAACTGTTGTCCGACGTATAGAAATTTCTGGCCGTCGAAAGCGTACAAACGGCCGCTGAAAGCATCGGCCCATTCGGCGGCCATTTTTGCCACAACTCGCGTGTTGTCGGCCCTGCGCTCGTTGCGGAGTCGGCGCGCGGGCTGACCACCCGTGGCACCGGTGGGCCCGGCACTCATCTGAACGAAGCCGTGGCCGTCGCGTCGGGGCAGTCGTATGTCTATGTCGTACAGATAGCACGACATCTGTTCCCAACCGGTGATCCGGTAGTGATTGACAATTAACTGTATAGCTCTGCCTGCGGTACCGCGCGGTGGCGGTTGATAGCCGATCGCCAATTTGGACACCGCTTGCTCTAACCCACTGTCATTGGGCGCGTTCGGGTGCTGAGGAGGACGGGAACCGCTACCATCGCCGCCACCTCTACCCCGTTGACCACCACCACCTCCGCCACTGTATCCCTGGCCGCCGCCACCGACGTCGCGACCACCTCTCGACTCGTATGATTGGTGCCCTTCACCACCTACGCGCCCATCACTACTACCACCGCTACCGCCACGCGGGCCGAAGCCACGCCCTTTTTTGCGACCTGTTGTGAAGTAAAGTTCATGTCATTCATAACAACGATATAAATGTTTAATTAAATGTCAATTAATACTAAAACTAATTATTAGTAATAGTAATAATGACTCACGATTTGGCATCACCACAACTGATCCCACTTGTGTCCAATTAAGTGATGGTAAACACACTCTAAGAGTTGAATAATGGATCAGTTTGTGAATCACATGTTAATCACTGACTCATTGCTTACCTCTAATCCAATGAAGGGATGATTGACTCGAGTCTTGAGATCGAGTGTTTGCGACCAATACTTGTCGTGAGATTGAGATGAACTGTGAGTAAGAGTTGGGCACTAATTATGCGCTTTGAAAGACTGGTTGACAACAGTGTCTGTGCTTTGCGTTCAACTGTTTTGTAGCCTTCGCTGTACTAAACGACTAACCGGTGAATCACTGATGAGTTGTGAATACAGTTTTTAAACGTTGTATAAGTTTTAGCGCATAAACCGTTTGCAGAGACAGTGTATGTGTAGTGAAGGTGAAAGTTATTTACAACACTATCACACGTCTAGTAAAGCGATCTCACACTCAATGTCTGTATAAATTACTTTTTCCATGTATTTCTAGTTCCCCAACCCTTCCCTCACTAACCCTTTGGATAGCAATTTATACACTAATTATTAGTGACTAATAACAAATGTATTAAAGGTTGTTTTTTACACCTCATCCACCTCTAAATATGTACTGTATTTATATAATATATGTATATAATTTTTGGATGATGTAATGTCTATTTGAGAAGTTTACAGTTAATGCAAATGGAAATATTTTTCAACATATTTAATTAAACATATTCTAGAAACATCGAAAACAATATTTATTAATTTTATGGAATTTTTATTTATACGATTTATTATTTTAATTAACACCTGGAAAAAATAAATCTAGAAAATTCTAGCATAATAAATGATGTTAGTAATAATTATTTTTTTTAATCACCCTCACACATTATTTACGGACATTTCGAGAATATGTTCTTATCATAAAAGTCTAAATACTGACATTCGGCGGAAAATAGCCGACCGGCGGGACTCCCGCCGCGGGTTAGCCACGCGTTGCGGCAATCGGTACAGTCGAGCGTCGATATAATTACATCATTTTGCGTGTTGTTTGGGTGGCGTAGAAACTGTCCGAACACTGACTCATCGAGATGTTTAAACCCATTGCCCTCGGCGTCAATAATTGTGGCCACATTGAGCCCACTCAAGGCCCCCGATGTCAGCGACGGGTCGTATAGGCTGTTGTTGTTGAGGGATATTCGCAGAATTTGCCCCAAATTTTTGTCCAAATTAAACGCGTGGTCAGAAATGTGGGTCAAATTATTTCGGGCCAAACTTAGCGTCTTAAGGGCGGGAAGATTGCGGAAAGAATTCCCGGAAATTTCCTCAACAATTTCGTATTCGATGCGAATTCTATGCAAATGTTGTAACGAATTGAACGCATTCTCCGGAATATTCCTGAGACTAGTGTTATAAATGTTGACGTATTGCAGGAAATTCAGGGAATTTATCGCAGCGAACAAGTCGGCAGTGTTGGCAACGCTACTCGCGACGGGACTGTTGATAACGCTAAAGGTTTCGACGGTTCCCTCTGTGCCCCGGAATGCCTGGGAATGTATTCTCTGTAAATTAACCGCATTTTCCACAGTAATAACGTTGAACTGTAAGTCGCCGAACACTGCGGCGGGTATTTCGACCACGTTTTTGTTGGACAAATAAAACTGATGATAGTTTGTGTCCCGACCTTTAAGCTCGCGACTAACATTTGCAAATAAACCTGCTAGGTCAACGGGATTATCACCATGGCAAAATACAGTGTCAAACGGGTAGTCAGCAGTTTTTGCGTAACACTCGCACGGTTTGATTGTCTCGGGTTTGGGGCAATCGCCTCCCTGTGCTCTCCCGGTCAATATTGTTAAATACGTGGTGATATAAATAATTATTAAATGACCTTTGCCTATTAAATTATGTTTAATTAGATGTGTGAAACTTTTCATTTAATGTATAAAATACTTACTTTTTTGTAGCATTTTGTTAATTTAGTAATTATTTTAAATATTTTTTATAATTTTTATATAAAACTATTATCATTTGTTAAAGGTTGTATTTACAAACCTTTATATTGCAAACATGTCATGATGCGACAATGAATTAGTTAACCTGATCAATTTAGCACATATTGTATATGTAAAATAATTAAACACATTTTATAATCATTAATTTTCTCACACTATTTTATTAATTTAGAAATTATTGTTTAATACGGAAATCAATTTATTTAAAAATTTAGTTTACTTGGCAACATCTATTGTTATATTTACCAGTTACATTTAACATTGTTATTCTCTATTATTGTCTTATTTTTTATTATTGTTAGACTTATTATTAAATATTATAATTTTATTTTGAGTAAAATTTAATTAAACTCTAATGTAATCTATTATTAATGAATTAACAGACAATCAAAATCTTATAATTACAAATTGTACAACACGCTTTTCAGTGATCTATGTAATGATTTATTATTAATAAAAATAATATGATCCTGAACCTAGTGCTACTAAATTTAGTTTTAGGAAAATATCAAGTGTTTACTTAACTGTTAAATAAAATGTTTTGTTATTATATACTATCTTTAAGTGCCGACAATGAAATTCGTATAAATTGATTAATTTATCATTAATTTTTATAAGGATTGCTATTATTATAATTACAGTATAAGTTTGAAAACCATGATAGATTTAGGATTAATCCAATGAAACCTTCATGAAATGAAAATAACTCTATTATCATCAATTTCCACTTAAATTATAATTCAGTTTATCTATAAATTAAAAGCTACTCATCAAAATAATTAGGATATATGTGTTTTAAAAACTAATCGGGATTATTTTAGGAAACAATAAAGATTATATTAATACAGAATATTACAATCTAATATCCGGGTATCAAAACCAAATCAAAATATATAAATACACAAACCTTAATAAAAATCATTCAAAAGTTTGCGAAAAATTCTGATTTACTATAATATTTAACAAACACTCAATTTATAATGAAGTTTGCATTATTACTCGCTGTTACACTAATTGCGCTAGGTAAGTTTTACTCATTATAATAACGAGCCTAATTAAAACATGTACAATGTGTACAACTAATATCATCTCAAACTTAAACAACTAATACATAACAACTTGCAATACAGTATCGGCAGTGCCGGCGCCCGACGACCCGCTGGAGGTATACAAACAACAACTGGTGGCCAGAGTTGACAAACAGGAGAAACTGACCGAAAAGGATATCAAACACTTCGACACAACGAAACTGAAAGACTCGCCGCAACAGAAAGAGCTGAAGAACTCGATGATAGAATTGGAGGGCTTCCGACCCGATATCAAGAAGGGCGCGTCGGTCGAGCAGTTGGAACCGGTTGAACGTAACCTTGGTTATTTGGAAAGTTGGGAACCGTACTATGTCGAGGAGATGGAAAAGTTGTTGCATCAATAAGTCTATGTCAAATATTTTAATCTAATTCACTATGGTTCATAAAATTGGATTCAAAATTTTTAATGTTAATACTTAAATTATTTTGCATATGTATAAAAATAAATAAATGTATTATTAATTATATAAATATAATTATCAGAAATTTGATTGAAATTATAAATGCAATTACATTGGTTAATGCAAATTTAGTTTATAAAAATGTGAAAGTATTACAAAAATAAATCCCAATTTTTTTTAATTACAACGCTTATCAGTGGTATTTAAAACTGTTTAAAACCTTTTAAAATGCGTTTAAAACAATTATGCGTATCTATATTTGTATTTATTGCTTATGAATTAAATTCATTAGAAACTCAATACAAGTATTATATTTGGGAAATACTTATTATTCATAAAGTTTGCAACCCTTTTATAGCACACATTAACGACTCCAATATTTTGTTACAGTTTTTTAATATAAGATATAATTTTTGTTTTATAAACTTTCTCTCTCTCTCTCTCTCTCTAGAATTAAATTATTTAAAAATATTATTAAAATAATCTTAATATTGTTATCTTATGTGTGACCCTAATGTTTGTGGTGTAAAGATGATAATATCAATATTATTAATTGCTTGTGTTAAGTACTGTATAATAACAATGTTGATTTTATAAGAATATCTTGTTCTATCGCATGACACTTTAAAATAAAATGTTAATTAAGGTTAAATTCAATTATAAATCTTAATTCATTGCTCTTTACAAGTCAATAAACCGCAAACTATAATTATTGAATATATTAAATAAACATGATAATTTTTAAAATAAATAACTTTATTTAATTAAAAAGTTGAAAAACAAATAAAATATAACCTTATAATTTATAAGTTATAAACAATAAATTTTGAGTCAACATAAATTATAAGATAATTAATATAATTATAATTGAAATTTCATAAATCAAATAATAATAACTATAATACCCCGAACTGATTGCTACTCTCCTTTGTTTTATATAATGTCAAGTGTTTACTTAATTGTTAAATAAAAAGTGGGATTATTATTAAAACTACATAATAAATAATGTTATATTCTTGGCTTCTGTACAACTGATAAGGAAATGCTTTTACTTCAAAATTGATTAGTTTATCATTAAGTTTTATGGGAATTACTAGAACTTTATGTGTGTATTAGAAATAAGTTTGCAATCAATAAATTACTGTATAAGAAATTAAATTAAAATAATATTTATTTTGAAAACAATTAAATATAAATAAATATGATTAATAATTTTATTTTGATTATTATAAATTTATAAATTATAATAACATAAATGTTCTAGCTGTATCAAATTAAATACACCGACCCGTATCAGGATAGTGTTTTAATATTAATTCAATCAACCTTAAATGAGAATCATACTATTACAGTATTATCATTTTCAAATATAATAAAGTAAATTACTGAGAAATTAAATAATAGAATGCTTAAATATAATTCTTAAAAATTAATCAGGATCGTCTAAAAGAACAATATAGACAATATCAATAAGTGGCATGATCAAACATCCTGCATAAAACCAATTAATAAAACATATAAATACACAAAACTTTATAAAGAAAAGTTAATTAAGTAGTTTTGAAATTACTTTTATATTTAAGTAAAAAAACTTTTAACACCAATTAATTTAAAATGAAGTTTGTATTGTTACTTGCTGTTACACTTATTGCTCTCGGTAAGTTTAGAATAACTATATTATATTTATTGGTATTGTTAATAGTATTTTTAAAAATATAATATAATGTTTAAAATCTCCTTTACTATTTAAACCGGCGATATAGAGGTAGAATGACATTTGAGTCATCAATGAAATGCAAACATGCAAATACTGCAGACTGACACCTTATTAGTGTTTTTTAAGTTTGACAAAAAAAT